CACTCTCACCTCCTGTAGTAACTTACCTTTAGTAGGCACATGTTGGCTACTTGGTTGATAGTCCTGTGTTTCTTCAGTGTTTAGACTCCCCCACTGAATGAATATGAGTGTGTGAGGATGCACTGGAGTGTCACGCTGAGAAGAATGGATGCCATAAAACAGTCCAAAATGGCAATGGAGCTGAATTGACAGTGAATGCCTTGAAAAATGTGCAGTAAATTTACACTCAAAGAACATATATCATCAAGTGTGGTGTCTGGTTCTGTAAATGTAAGAAGTGAAGGGAAGTGTTTTAAAAATGTTTTTGCCTTTGTCCTTTCTAGAAATAGAGAGGCAATACTGTGGTTGGGCCCCTTCCAACGTGTCAGTGCAGTGGTATCACATTTGTGTATGCATGTGTAGTTCTGATGTAACTCTGTAACATAAATCATACCCAACCAGACTGTATGTGAGTGTACATGCAACAAGACAGGAAAATATTAGTGTATGGCCATACAATGGAGATAAAACACAAAAATTTTATAAAAGTATATAAGTGCACCATCTTTAGCATTCAGCCTCTGGATACAAATCCCTGGAGTCAGTGCTGACACAAATAAAGCTCTTTCCTGAGAACAAGGCCACCATGTCCCTTTTTTTTTTTTTTTTTTTTTTTTTTTTTTTTTTAATACATTGGGTCCAGGGTCTCACTACATAGCTCAGACTCATAGTGATTCTTCTGTTTTCAATCTCCCCAGAACTGGGATTACAGGCATGCACCACCACGCCTGGACTTGGAGGCTGGCTCAGTGTACCTGGAGGTGAGACTCGTGCAGCATGCGGTGCCAGGGATCAAACCCTGGGCCCTCTGTTTGCCTAAGCAGTCGCTTACTCTTCTGAGCTATCTTGCTGGTCCTCCACGTCCCATCTTTTTACATTAAAATCTTGCAACATTTCTAGGGGATCAGCACTGGGTTTGTGTTATTTCTGGGATGGTATATTTCTACCTCCTTGTCAATGAAGTCCAAACCTCAGTGTGTAGGAAGACACGACCTTGGCCAGAACCAGCAGACCATCTGATGCATGGGGAGTTTGACACCTCCTTATGTGATGGAAAGAGATGCATAACATAATATAGAGGCTCAGTAACCAGTTCAGGGAGTGCTGCCCACCCGATTTAAAAAGACGGGTTTAATTTGATAGTTTTACCTTTAAAGAGGCAGAAAGTGAGACTGAGACACTCCCAGAGTTGCCTGATTAAGTTTCATTAAAACTAAAACCCACAAATGTCAGGACCTATGTGGCTGACTGGAGAATCAGAGTTGCCCAAGTATTTCCACAAGGAAGAGTACCGCTGCCCCGTGGTCCAACTTCCTCACATTGACTGTTGACGAGACGTCTTGTTTCACCAAGGAATGAACCTCAGGCTTTTGGGTAAAACTAAATAGGAAATAAATTTCCTTCTTACTTAAGACAGGTTAAGGAATCAAAGCTCAAGGAACAAAATGCCCCAATATTTTCCTTGGATTGATGTTAAGTATGACATTAATATTATCACTTGGTTATTGCAGACAGATCAGATCCATAATTTTCCAAACAAGTAGAAGGTAAAGGCTAAATAACAGAGACAAACAGTATTGTTGCAGGTCTCCAGGAGGATCTAAAACTTTCTTACAGAATTTAAGATTCTTTGGGAATTAAAACCAAGATCTTCTCTAGGAACCCTGTATTTATTTAGTTGCCAGAACAAGGGAAAGGAGTACTTAAGAAGGTTGGGAACTGCTCAAGGACTTTCCCAAGTAAGGCATTATGTTAATTTAAGAGAGCTATGTTAAATCCAGGAAGGTCTTCACCTAGGAGTGAGATGCCTGAGGTTGCAGTCCTTATCTAGTGGAGGTGGGAGCCAGGTGTCCTTAGCTGTGATCTTGTCTTATCCTTTGAGACTTCACCCACTATTACAGGCCACAGTGGGGATCAGTGGTTCACAGAACTTCACTTACTATATATGAGTCTGCAACCAATTTCCACACAGGGGGCCTAGACCTTGGACAGATTCACAAGTAAACGTAGAAAGTCAATTAGTTAATTTAGGTCTTGATTAGAGCAGCTTCTTGGTGGGCTCCATCACTTAAAGACTTGGGGCAACAGCCCCAAAGACAAGAAAAAAGGTAATTGGTTAAAGTATTGTTTCATTTGACTACAAATCTATAAATCTCTACCCTCATGCCATCTCTCTACTTGCCAAAGTTTGTATTAGAGGAGGACTGAGTGTGTCAATTGTTCACTGAATTTATTAATGATAAAGATCAAGGTCTCAGGAAGGAACAGATAACACCTTGCATTGGTGACAGGGTCAAATTTTCCTCTTTCCCCTAAAACCTTAGGGACTTAACAAGAAAAGAAAGATTCACATTTGATTCCTTCCACCACAAGACCTCCACTGGAATCTGTACCCTCAGAATATAACCCAGATACTTCAGCTTGTTGACTCTTCCTTGATTGGCCTACCACTGGCCAATGAGGGTCCAACTCTTGGTTCTGTAGCCATGGACATACAAGAAGTAAAATATCGCCCTTTTACTCAGCACATAAATTAGAAAGGCACAACTCTCATCACTCCAATAAAAACAGTCAATCATAAAGTGTTCATGCTGTGGCACAAGAGCCCACCCAGAAGCACAATAATAATCTATTATTACAAACCTTGGCTCATTGATAAATTTAATTTTGGCTTCCAAATTAAATTAGTATTTTTATTTAATTGATAAGCTTAAAAATTACTTATGGATTATAAATTCTTAAACTGTAAGGTTGAAGAATCAACTTTAAGCTACTAGGTTATGGGGTTATTTTATCTACTTTCTGTGGGTGTTAAAATAAGAGTAGTAATTGAAGCTTATTTCAAAGTCTGAAAATAGTCAGATTTAAAATGTAACTATCTGAGACCACAGGAGAAAGATGAAAAAAAAAAAAAGAAGAGAAAGATGCTTTAAAATGCAAGCATCCACAGGCACGTTTGTCATGGACAAAGTTTGGAGTAAACAGGATAGAGAAAAGTATATAAAGAAGGTTATAGATATAAAAAATATGGTATGAGAAGTGTTTGTATGATACGGATTTCACTCTGTTAGAAAGATAGAGAATGACAAAACTGGAAACTCAAGTATGTAGAATAAAAGTTGTGGCAGGTACAGTTTATGAAAGGAAATATATGTGCTTGCTTGTTGGTATGGTGGAGTGCAGGCTGCTTCTTGTAAAAGATACTTGTTGCTCAAGAATTAGGTGGCTATGGCCCTGGCTCAATCCGTTACTCTTTTACAGGTTGCAGGTATCCTATCTATTTGATTTGGTAGTTAACACCCAAAAACAATCATAGTCAAAATTATAGGAAAATAATTTTAAATCAAAATCTGAGCTAAATATAAGAAGAAAACAACTCAGAACCATTGAACATTTTTCTGTTAGTTACCATAAAGTTGGAAGCTGAAGAGTAGAAGAGCCTAGTGCCTCCTGCCATGTGTGAAGTGTGTGTATGTGTAGGGGGGTCACATGATGTCTCCTTTCTGCATATGTGAACAATAGTTAAATTAGAAGTTTATTTTTTGTCCAAAGAAAAATTATAAAATGAAAAGGCTAAACCTCCACTCTCCAATTCCTTCTGGTCTAAGAGGCTTACTCTCCCACCTCCTTTCTGGTGTTAGTTTATGGCAAGAAATATCTATACTAATTGGTCACCCCAACAAGTTCTGACTAATCAATCTGTAATGAACCTACAACAGACTATTATAGCTATATATCAATGTAGCCAATATTTCTAAGAGTGCACTCATATCTAAAAGTAATTGTTTTTGTGTCTGTGTTTTTGATTTTTGATATAAGGTACTTGAATAAATTGCATTTTTCCTTTTATTAATCTTTCTAGAAGTACTGAAGTCCACTTAAAAGGTGATAGGATGAGGGGTAGGATACTTCAAGGTCACACAAGCTTTACAAAAAGAAGTCTTAGAGTCTGAAAACAAAAGTTATATATGATTTAAGCTGTGTATGTTTCTCTATGTGAATCTTCAATGATATGCACTACTTAGGTTACCTCATAGAGAAATAGACACTCGTGATATTAGTGCAAATTCTTGTAGTTCACAACAGTAGACTAATTTAAATGAGTTGATAAGAACAAAGATATTTTAAAGATTGATGTCATGTATTCATTCAGATTTTTACATAACCGGGGTAATCAAGATAAGATCCAAAATTAATATTTTATCTATTGTTGTATGTGTGCAACAATTTAAGAATTTTTCTTTGGTCAAAGATAATATACATATAGGCAGACACAGAGACTGAGGGTTTGACGCCAAGCCTTCCCTGCTGGCCCAGCCGGCAATGACTGAGACTGGGTGTGGTGGCACGCATCTGAAATCCCAGCACTTGGGAGGCTGAAAACAAGAGAATCACTATGAGTCCAGTCTGTGTAGTGAGACCCTGTAGACCCTGTACTAAATGCATTAAAACAAGCTAATGTATAGAATAGTTAAAAATGTTCATTGTTGTGATGAGTCATTTAAAGCAAGTATTAAGATAACTACATGAGAACCACTTGAACTTGGGAACTATTAGAAAAAACTCCTCTCTGGTTGAAAGAGTATGTGTTATATAGGAGGTAGTTTAAGGGAATATATTTAATGAAGGACACATAATTTATAGGATTATTTTATGATATTCACCCAAAAAGTTACATGCAGATGAGTGTAAAAGTATTGTCTTCATTCTAACGTCCTAGTGAATCCATCTTTGTCGCTGGATCACATGACAATGCTCCATGAATCCAAATGGAAGCCTCGAACCCACACAATGTCTCACATGAGTCTATATCAAAGATATGCATCGGAAAGGCCCAAAGGCCAGTGGTGAAAGCTAGAAAATCTGTTCCAGTGGGCTGAAGGATCTGTGTCATAAGGCTGATGGATTGACACTGGAGTCAGCAAGTGGTGCTCAAGGTGAAGACCAGAGCTCCACTAAAGATGACAGTGACCCTTTCCAGTGACAATGAGGATCAGAAGTTCTCTGATGACAAAGTATCCAAGTTTGTACCAGGAAAATCAGTTACGGTATGCTTCTGGAAAATCAACAGATTGTACTCCTCTACTCATGTTCTCCTTAATGTCATTGGCAACAATCCTCAGGTAACTGTTTCACTCTTAGATCCATGCTGACACATTTCAACTGGACATTCACACTTAAATTGACCATTAGTGAATCCATCAGAGACAGAAATTTGTCCAGTTTCTTCACTGATGGTTGACCTTTCTAGTTGTCTCGGGGTCTTGTCATGCTATACCCAACAGTAATCAAATAAATTATTAGGATATACTTAAGCTGGTTACAAATAAAATTAAACTCTTTTTGCTTAAAACACTAAAGTTTTCTGATTCATGTGCTCTTGATTAAATTTTCATCTACTAGTTTTGATTAAATAAACAATTTGTTATTTTATAAATAAGATACACTTTTATTGGGTAATAAGTCTATGTCCACTGTTAATGCTGTTCCCTAAATTTATAAGAGGCTTAAAGATGTTGTTTAATTCTTGTCAATACAAAACTGACAAGAACTCTGCATAAACCTGACCAAAAAATCTGAATTTTGCCTGAAGAGTA